GATAGCGCAGATCATTGATACTCTGGAGATCGCGCATCTTCCTAGTATGCATCTAACTTGCCGGTGATGTTCCTCCTTCTGATGAGCCTTCTGTCGACTTGAAGGTGTAAATTCCCTCAGTTGTCGTCAACTTCGATGTGACTGCTCTTGGTGTGGATTTTGCTGAGGGGAGAAACACAGAAGATGAGGCCGTATCACTTACCAAGATTTGATCGTAAAAATGAGGAAGTGACGCTTGACCTCTCCTCTAGTGGTTTCTGAAAGTCCCTCTCTCGATGCTAGGGTCGATGATAGCTGAAGTTTTGGATGTTCAGCACTGCTATTGATACTCTTGATGATGTACTCTGNGCTGAAGTTTTGGATGTTCAGCACTGCTATTGATACTCTTGATGATGTACTCTGAGTTGGAGGTAGCTATTGGATGAATCTATCCTCATTGTTGAACTGCTGACTTTGGATCTCCCGATAAGTTGTCTTGTTTTTCATCTGTTTCCGATTAATGAGCTTTCTCGTCGATTGAGGTTCACTGTTGCTGATGCTGTTCTCTAGGAACCTTCCGTCGACTTGGAGGAGGCGTAAATTCCTTCAGTCGCCGCCAAGCTCGTAGTTGATTGATTGCTAAGGGGAGAAACACAGGGTGAGAGACGTATCACTTGCCAAAGTATTGATAAATGGAATATGATACTTATCTCTCAATCCTGGAGTCGCTGGATTCCCTTAGCTCGTTGATGGTGTTGACAATCTCCTGATGATTCCTATAGAAGGTCGGGATTATATAACCCGATACTTCTCAACTAATTTGAGTCTTTTTGCAGCTCTCTGATAGGTAGTCTCGGTGATATACTCATGAGTCGGAAGTAAATTCTCGATGAATTTCTCTTGGAGGTTGAGCAGCTCTCTCCATCCCGCTTCGATGAGTTTCTTCTGGCCTTCTAATTCTTCGATGGTAAGGCTATTGATATTCTCTGCTGATAGCAACAGTTCTTGGAGAATCTCGTCCAAGTTATTGACCTTGAAGTCGATCTGCTGCATTTGGAATTTTGAACTGTGGATAATTCGCCTGTCGCTCCCATGTCAGACACATTCCGTTTGATGCTCGTCTGTTGAGTAGAGTCCAGGATGGGAGTAGACTGCGTAGGGTTACCGCTAAAGTGCTCTGAATAATANATGGCGCCAATCAAGTGACTCATGGCACTGGCGAAGGGAGGGGAACAGCTGACGCGTTGCGCCGACTGCTCCGAAATTGTTTTTATAATTTATAATAAATTAACGGTACATTTTGGGCTATAAGTTCCTAACCCTCCCCGATAGAAAATTTTCTCAGCTACAAAGAAATATTTTTTTTCCCATCTGATGAGGTTAACTAAAGATATCTAGGATTGAAGATGGCCTTTCGCCAATTCCCAATTATTTATAACANATTACACAGCACTAGAGGTCGAAATGTCACTACCGGTGTTTACAATACCAAACTTCAACTGTAAACACTAGGCACAACACTCTGCACTGTTGATTGTCTTGACTTGTCCATAGATTTGCTCGTGTGGAACCCGAAAGTCTGTTACACACGAGGAGTCCATTTTATTCTAGAATTTTCCACTCACTCTCACGCACCCTTTCTCCATCCGGCTCGAAGGACCATTTGTTTGAGATTGAAGCTAAATTGAGATGCCGAGTGGGGGGAAAAGTGGGATTGTGAAAGGAGGTGGAAAATTAAAACACGCGGAATTATAAAACCACACTGTTGATGTACTTTATTGTGGAATAACCCACGCGTCTTGATAAATTAATAATGTTACACTATTGAGTTGCTCGACAAAGTCAATAAAAATGATGGTTTGAAAAATGCACTGCACTTGAGATTCTCTCGATATTGAACTTGATGATTGACTCAAAATAATTGATAGTTAACTCGGAATTAATTGATAATTGAATTGAATTAAATAGAGACGCTATACAAAGCGCTAGACTCAAATGTATCGGGTTGATGTACTCCGGTGATGTACTCGATTGAGCGGTTACGGCAATACAGTACTGTGATTAGAGTGACTCTCTCGGTGGCTAGAGCGATACTACAGACTTTTTCGGGGATTTTCTTCATAGCTGAATGTGACCCCGAAGGGTCCCGAATTTTCTCGAGATTTTCGTTGAGCCCGGTGACCGTTTGACTAGTTTGAATAGCTGAATTTCAAACAAGGTTATTATGAAAATTCCGCTATCTGCATTACAAAAATNGCATTTTTATAGAGCAAATAAAGATCTACAAAAAAGTTTGCAACGGAAATTTGATTACCACCCACAGATTCGGAGATATTCATCAAAAACCCAGCTGAGGGTTATTGCGTTGAGCGCAGCAGGAGGTCTGAATAAGTTGGGCATGGCGCCAATCAAGTGACTCATGGCACTGGCGAAGGGAGGGGAACAGCTGACGCGTTGCGCCGACTGCTCCGAAATTGTTTTTATAATTTATAATAAATTAACGGTACATTTTGGGCTATAAGTTCCTAA